TTTTTGTTTATTTTTGTTTTCATTTTTTAGCAGAAGTAAACACAAGCCTTTGTGGACGACAATATACGTGACTTTACTAGAGCAATCGAGGCAAAGACGCTTATAATGCCCACTGCGGCGAAAATTGATAAATCTTGTCTTTCATTGCCACTATGTGTCATTTTGCTAGGAAATCTGGTATAATGTCCCTGTATAACCTCTACACATTGAACACTAGTGAAACTATTTAGTCACATTCACGTTTTCCCTTTTTCAAAACCACAAAATCCGCTGATGTGAGGTAAGACGGCGGAATCGCAAAATTCCGCTCATAATACGGACCAAAAAACGCGAAACTACGCGCGGTCGTGATGAGTTAAATAAGTTCGGACAGAGAGTAGATGCACTGTTCTAGTCAAGTCCAAGAAATAATGAAGTAGAGTTACCAAAAATCATAACCGCTTCCAGGCATCGCTCTCAAAACTCCCATGCACCGATCACAGAAATCTCACTTCTATTCGTCACACCCTCAACTAAATGTTAGCACTACACTTCTGCGAACAATTATGATATGCGCAGTTCCCAACTGCGTTTTTTCTTCGAGCCTTGTTTTATAGACAACCATCTTCAACTACTCTACGTGATTCAACCTTACCTCAGGCCAAGCATGTGAAAGCGCCTTCACAGCAACTTTCGATAAATCGTTGAGCTTTGAGGGTGCGAGATCTGGATGCTTCTTGAGGTCGAAGTCAGGTTTCAACAGCTGAAAGCATTTTATACTGAAGAGATCAGGAGCTGATCGAAATAAATCGCTTAGTACCCACTTCATCTTCTGCGGTGTCAACCCATTTCAACAAAGGGCCCACTATGAACTCTGCACTAGTAGCGATCAATTGATTACATCGAGTACGTAGTTGTAAGTCTATCACACGGCGGGTATCACTGCTTTGCTCAGAAACATGGATGGGTACCTGAACAACTTGACTGTGTTTTTCTGCCCAGAACAATAAATACCATACATGCAAGAGCAGGTTAAAGCTGGCAAGAGAGGCGAAGCAAAATGTCACACGGTTTCGAAGAAATGTTAGCACGAGTTCCCACAAGCAAAACTCACGGGGTGATTTCCTTTTAAAAGTACGTTATGAACTGGTGCTGGCTGAATATTTGCATACTCTTTAAACTGAAATCACCCCAGAAGTAAACCTTTGTGAACTTACTGATATGTGAAAGAGCATTCCGCGAAACTAACCGAGAAAAGCAATTCAAAGGCGTTGTTGGAACTCAGTTCGAACCATCGGCTTTTGTTCATGCGAAGATAAAGCTCTTCATTCGCAACGCAAAATCTATGAACCACATCGAGTGTAGCAAGGTGACAATTCAGCATCTGGGGCCATAATAGAATCCTCGCTTGCAGGAAGATTCCCTCTCATCGAGAAAGAGTTCAGGAAGCAGCTCACTGCCAGAGTTGTGCACAAGCATACCTGTGCGCAGCCTGCCTATAGGGAGCAGTTTGTTCTCTCAGAATGAGTAAATGCTTGACCAGGAACAACTCGCCGTCCAACTTCTTTGTATGACCAGTCTGAAAGAAGATATCTTCTTGAAAAAAAAGGTTTAAAAAGGCACTACGAATACCATTTACCGGTCATGATCAATTGAGTTCAAGCAAGAATACATAGTTGTACGTCTGACAGTAGTAAGAACACAGGTCTAGCAACGCTTCAATGAACGTGGAAACGTAGGAGAATTTCTACTGACTGGCAAGGTCAGAAAGCTGTAGTAAAAGCTGTAGCCTGCTTCTTTTCCATCCGTAACTCACAAAAGTCCTAACTAGCGTAGCTCCTGAATTTTCTACCCATTTGTCTTAACCCTAAGACTTTTCAGAGACAGTGTTCTCAATGAGAAATTGTTCACTTGGAAAGCTTCGTGCGCATTACCTAAGGTGCACTTTTCGAAAAGCGCACTTTCTTTTCATAGTAGTCTTCAAGCGAGTCCGTATTTGGCCTCACAATACGGGACAATAGACAAAGTTAAACGAAAAATGTTAACCTTTTTGGATGGTGCCGCAGCAATGTGTAGAGCTGCCGCCTCCAGGGACGTGCAGCATTGTCAACAAATCACGAGCAAGTGATTGAAAAACAGCCACCTGAAACTATAAATACATTCAACTTGACTAGCAAACCATAATTTATAAATATTAGTTGAAAGAAAGTGTCATTAGTGGGAGTGTCGAACTGCAGAACTGATATAAAACATACGTCGAGACATCTGTACAACTTTGCAAGGCACATGACAGTCCGACGGACAGTTGGATACCAGAGACAGTGCAGATCAACAGCGGAAATTGGTGCAGGACTTGGTCTAGCCGACGACGAGTTCTTGCGCATATTGCCTAAAGAGACAAACAGGTAAGTAATAACAACTGCATGAAAAAAGTCGGCTTTCCAAAACTTGACTTCAGAACTGTTAAGATTCAGAAATCTGTTCTTTAACCGTCCATCCATCGTCCCTCCTGCTGTCTCGCGCTTTTTCATCCTCTCCCCTTTTTTTGCCCATCTCAATCCTCTTCTCATCATCTCTAGTTTCTCTGGATATGCCAGATCTCCCGCCGCTGGCTTGTAGCCAGCAATATCAGTTTGACCATATAGGACAGCTCTGCAAACGATTTGTTATTTGCGGCTCTATTCGAACCATCTAAACTTTTCTTGCCTGTAACTGTGATCGTAACACCAGCACCATGAACGATTAAGAACGGCGTCAAACCGCAGTTTTACGCTGCGGCCAAAGAGAGATACTAGTCAGGGAGAACGAGGCATCTCAGGGGCTGAACTGAAAGTAGGGCTTGAGGCCACTTTCCATTAGAAACCGTATGAGCAATATGCGAGTCTGTTAGTTTGTATAACCACTACACATGCGAGCGGGTGCGCTCAGACCAGCGGTAGAAAGTTGGGCTTACTATTCATCAACCCAAGCCGAGTTCAGGGTAGTCTGTAGACTTTAATTAAATAAAAGTTCATTAAAGCAGCCAAAGAACTAGCAAGTCTTCGACCTTGGCGAGCGCAGTATAACTGTGTACATTTTTGGGCCAATATGCTTAATGGACATTGGCCCAGGTCTGAAAAATCGAAATGGATATTCAAACTATTTAGTGCATTTTACTCCCCAACGTCATAGAACTAATGTTCCTCATTCCGCCACTTCTCCCACAAGTTCGCGCAATAACTCGCACAAACCTCGCGCGTGATCACAATAGGTGCTTCTGTCATCGACAATCGGCGGAGCACGCGAGCATCTTTCCTCGATGCATTTTCGACCTGATAAATAGCATGCAGTGAGTGACAACGAATAGACTTTTTGAACCTAGACGAATCAACTACGGTCTGACTTAGAATGTAACTACAGCTCTGCTAAGTCTCCAAAACTGTGATTGTAGAAATCACGATTTGCGCAACATACTCATAGCAGCAACCGCCAAATTGCCTTATATAACTCTTCAAGATGATTGAGGGTATCAAGCATGTTGCCGTGCGGGCTCGACCACCACTGACGGATTTGGCCTGAATTAGGGTATGATAGCACGGCGTGGAGAAAAATAGTTAGGGGTCGTAAGACCTACCTGTTCCGTCGACCGAAACGAGACGGTGGACCGCCTGACACCTGGCCCGTTGAGAAGAACTGCCGATAAAGACGGAAACTCGTCATCGCAAAGACCCAAAATGAACGCACAGCTATTCCGTGTCAAGGCGCAAGAAGAGTCTGCGTAGGTGCTGAACAAATTTCAAAATAGATCTTAAAGCAAGAAGCACCTGACTTTACCACAAAAGCATGCAAATCGAATAAAGAACTTCAAGTGGATATCAAAAAAGAATTCGGTCATACTTCGAAAACATGTGAGCGAGAGTAGCTTGAATAATTGGCGTCAAAAGTTGCTGTCTAGTATTGAAGTAAGCCTGCTGGCACTCAGCCAGCATTGCTTGAAGCTCCGGGACCTGGGCAAACCTTTGCTCGGCAACTGAGAGTGCGGCTCTGAAACAAATTTGTACGAGGGGTTAAAGCGGGAGCGTTACGACTGCCTTGCAGTTATCATCCACGAGCTATCAGCTGAATCAGGAAAACTCACTTAACGGAATTAGCTCGAGTAGCAAATACACCATACAACAGAGCAAAAGTGTCGTCATCAGCTCCTCCTCGGCCCAATTTAGCGTAGTCTACCTGAATACTTCGCATATGCCCATTAAAATGCGGCCCTCAACACGATTCTACGTTTTTACTTCAAAGGAGCTCGATCTGGCGTAAATTAACAGGAGATAGGGCGACGATTGAGAAGTACACCTACTTTTGTGAATTGTTGCGCTCGGGTACCCGAAAGCAGGCCCGTCGCGTGAAAAGGAGACAGTCAGCGAATGAGTCGCAGCGCGTGCTGTGCTATATAGGGTGTACGATGGTACACCCTGTATGGCACAGCACAAACTTTAACTTGGCGCGAAATCATTACAGTACGCGCTCGACTCATCTGATGACTGCTCTTGCCGCAAAACGGGCCTCTTGCCGCGCACCTGTTGCGCTCTTAAAGCATTACATAATCCCGATTAGAAAATATGGGAAACTGAAAGTTGTCAAGGACTAATGTAAGAAAGACCTGCAACTGGGACTGCCGATCTCTGACATCGTTAACGGAAGCCTCGATGTCTGCCATCACTCCGACACGGATCCATGTCATCGCCCTAGTGAAAAAAGGACTTAACTGATAGTCCAATAAGAGACAAGAGAACACGCGTGAAAAGCGCGCTTTATAACTCCGCTTATAAGAAAAACAAACACAATGGTTCAAAATTTCAATACTAACTCAGACCAACCTACTGAGACATTGCTCATATTTTACAATGTAAGCAGCAGACTCCTTATACTCTGGATGTTGACGTAGAAAGGTGAGACACTCATCGATCGTGGCTAGGATCCCAGTGAACATTTGACCAGTTACAGAAATTTTTGTCGTATTGTTCAGTTTCTTGAAAAAAAAAGAAACTTTGATAACGTTGAACATGCCAGTTTACCCCAATTACCTTCATAATGATATCGGCTTGCTTGAAAAAATGCAAATTCGTTCGGATCTGCTCAGCTCCTGCAGCAAGTGCTGTTTGATATGCCAATGCTCGATCACAAGCGTCGTGGAGGCTGGATGTGCGAGCCGTTACGCTGGCATACGACGTACGCAGTTCTGCCATAGTCTGGAAAC